TAACCAATAAAATTTTTACAATATCACGGGATGATCTGCAAAAATTAGCCAATCACAATGAAAGCCCGCTATGCTTCGGTTCTGCACATGACTTATTAGCCCGTGTTTTTCCTAATATTATTACAAATATTATTACAAATAATTGATATTCCTTCGTTACGCGATTTCTCGTACCTACGGTGTTTGAAGTTGACATTGTTTGCTAAATAAATCCATTTTTAATTACGTTTCATGAATGTATGAACTAGGTGTATAAATTTGAGATGTCTGAAAATAAAGGCAGGAAGTGTGAAGAAGAAAGGAATAGTTTTAAGGGGAGGAGAGAGATAAAAAGCGAATTCGAGACTACAAAAAGGCAGCTTAATGTAGATGAAAATGGGCAAAGTGATAAAGAATATGAAGTTGAGGCTATAATTAATTGGAAAAAGGAGAACGGAAAAGATTATTATAAGATAAAATGGCTAGGTGCGATGTGTTCTTACTTGTGGCTGTTTCTTAAGCTGATAAGACTAATAGAAATGAAATGATATTATTTAGGTTATGACGAAAGACACAATACATGGGAACCAATAGAAAATTTAAAAAATTGTACAGAGTTATTGCGTCAATTTAGAAAATCTAGAGCAACAAAAAGAGTGACTATTTCTGATGATGATGAATATAAAGATTCAGCACCTGAAGAAAAGCCAGTATGTTATTTTTGTATTTCATATATTATATTCTTTTATTTAGGCTCAGTGAATTAACATACCTATCAGTATATTCGGCAAGAGATAATCACGAAGAGAAACGAATCAAGTACACATAATCGTGCTTCCGGCTCGAAAAAGTGGATGGGCGTTGTATCTGGTATTATCTTATTGGTTATTCGTATGTTTGAGATGTCGTCTTTCTGATGTGCTGTTATTTATTATACTAAAAGGGATAGACCAAAAACGCGTCGATAAGATTTTCAAAGATGATGTCGATGACGATAGGAAAAATGACGTTTTTAGTAGACCCGTCGAATCCTCTACACAAAATGAATGTAGAGAATCGTCCAATAAAACTAAGAATAATAGAGATCGTAGATTACTAGCTGCAATAAAATTTAAAAAAAATCGTATTGCCAGTTCATCAAAAGTGGAAAATGACGAACCTAGACGTAGCAATTACGTTAGTTTATCATCCAGTCCGAACAATGACGTATTTATTAGTTCATTGGTAACAGATCTCAAAAAAGAGAATCTTGAAGCCTCGTCTATCGGTTCTTCATCCGGGAATGCACCGAAAATTTCAAAAAAAAGACGGCCAAGGTTGTTAATGCATCGGGAAATAATGCCCCCATGGTCACCGGCTTCCTCTTTTGAACCACTTTCAAGGTATTATTATTAGAGTTATTTTATTTTAAATTTTTTTTTTTTCCATTGATTCTTTCTATATTATTTTATTATTTAGTTTTATTTATCTACTTTCATTTTTATTTTTATTTTTATTTCTTTTTTTATTAATTAATTATTATTTTTATTTTTTTGTTTTTAATGATTGTTTATTTTTTATTTTGTGCCTAAAGCAAATATTTAATTTAAACTTTTATTTTTAATGATTATAGAAGGCATAAACATGTATTATCAAAGGATCCAAAAACGAACAGAAAATTAGGTGAAAAATCAAATACGTCAATGACCTCTATAGAGAACAATAATCGGGAAGAACTTAGTCAGTCTGTGAAAAAAGAACATAAAGAACTTAGTCAGCCTGTGAAAAAAGAACCTAAAGAACCAGCTAATTTGATGGATACCGATGACCAGTGTGAACCTATGTTATCACCGGTACCAGTAAGGGTAAGGACTGACCATCAATGGCGTGGGCGATTGTATAAGAACATGCCTGCAGAAAGCGATTGTAGAGAGAGACTTGTCAGTGAGATATCTCTTAATATGATGGTTTTATATAAAAAAGACCCACAATTCCTGTAAGTGTCATTTTATATTAAAACTATTTAATACACTGAATACTTTTCGTTTAATGTATTAATATATAATGTTTAAAAATAATATTTTTGTGTAGGCAAGAAATACGGAAAACGGATAGACTCGTGATTGAACATGTTCAACTACAAAAACGACTTGTTAAAATAATTGAGCATGATGCGGCGGATTATGGAAAAGAATCAGGAAATGAACCATTTTACGCTATATACTTGGTATCTGATCATGATATACTAGATAAAAA